CATTGCCACAACTGTGGTCTGACCTCAGGCTAAACCACCTTAAACTCCAAAATGTGAAATGCCTTGTGCCACACCCTTCTCTCAACTTTCCAATTTTCCTCCAAAAACAAATTTTTAATAACTTCAAAATTCTAGATTTTTGAGTAACCACGTAGAACATGGGAAGATAATATCTTGAAGTTAGCAAAGACATTTCCTGTCAGTTCTTGCCACCTCAGACCCCAGCCCCAGTCTGCATTAGCAGTGAAAAAGAAACAGCAGCTTTAACACTGGCTCTAGGATCCTTCTAGATTAAGAGAAGACTGGGGTCTCTTTCTATGGAGGGTTAGAGTCACTACTGTTGGAAACTGTTTAGTGTCTTCCTCATGAAAAGAGAATTTCCTGAGAGCTTCATAAATAATCAGAGAAAAAACACAGAAGAGAATTTCCCATTATTAAAACAACTGATGAAGCAATTTTTTTATGACAAAACTCTAAAGCTTTGTGTAACTGACCTCTTCTTCCTTGTGTGGCGGGTCATTAGTGTCAACTGGGTGTAGTTCTGTAACCAAATAGGAAACTAAAAATAACAGGACTGGATTTTTTTAAAAATGCAGATGATTTTATGAACATTTATGGAATATATAGCTACAAATTATAAGTTTATCTTATCTATTGCTTATCTAATCATGCCACTTAAATAACCGGATGAATAAATTTTCCTAAATTTGACATTAGTTGAGATCTTTATAACTTATTTAATCTTTGTTAAATTGAAGTATAGATGGTTTACAATGTTGTGTTAGTTTCTGGTGTACAGTGTAGTGATACAGTTATACATATGTATTCCTTTTCATATTATTTTTATTATAGACTATTACAAGATATTGAGCTGTGCTATACAGTAGGACCTTGTTTATCTATTTTATATACAGTAATAGTATCTATAAATCTTTTTTTTTTAATCATATAAACTTCAGCTCTTTTCCAGAGATAAGAGACTTTCGCCTGAGAGATCTGTATATGTCAGGTTGTTTAAACACAATAACAGAACATTCATTTTATGTATATATATGTGTGGTGTGTGTGTGTGTGTGTGTGTGTGTGTGTGAGTGTGTGTACACACAGAGATCCCCAGATTTACCTTTGGGTAAATAGCAAGGAGCGTGATTGCTGAATTGTGAGCATATGTTTAGTTTTTAAGAAATTACTAAACTGTCCTCCGAAGTGGCTGTACCATTTTGCATTCCACCAACAATAATGAGAACTCCTGTTCCTCTGCATCCTTGCCACCATTTGGTATTGTTACTGTTCTGTTTATTTGGCCATTCTGATAGGTATACAGTGGTAGAGCATATGGTAGTTCTATGTATAATTTTTTTGAGGAAACTCCATAATGTTTTCCATAGTGGCTACACTAATGTATATTCTCACCAACAGTGCAGGAGGGTTCCATTTTCTCTACATCCTCACCAACACTTGTTATTTGCTGTCTTTTTGATAGCAGTCATTCTGAGAGGTGTGAGGTAATTATCCCATTGTGGTTTTGATTTGCATTTCTCTGATGATTAGTGATGCTGAGCATCTTTT